AAAGTCTTGGTCAACTGTAAGTGATACATACCTAACATCAGTGAATTTACTGTAAGAGGAAATGACGTCTCTCACTGCTATATGTAAAATTGGAAGGTAAGTCTATTAAATGTAATAACAAAGTAAAGACAATGAAGAAGATAGATACACAGGATAAATTACCTAGAAAAGTCAAAAGTAGCAACTGAAAAATAAGGACTAAACAGAATTCAGTAAATATAAAATGTACAAAATAAAAATAACAGAAATCTAGGAAGTTCCTACAAACCAAAACAAAGAGTAAAACATTTTTCACAACATAAATAATAAAAATTACCAAGGAATAAGTTAAACGAGAAAGTGGACTTAAGGGAAAAAAGGCAAAACGTTACTGAAGGCATAAAAGAAACATGTAAATTAAGAAACATATTTCTAGTCTGAGGTTAATTTTTCTAAAATTTTCACTTTATGTGTTTGAATCAAAATCTCTTTAGAGTTTCCCTTTTTTTATAATCAGAAAAGTGATTAGCAAATTCCTATAAAAAAATTAACTGGTCAGAAAATAAAACCAAGGAACCTTGTGAAAAAGAGGGTAAGGAGGAAAGACTGGTCCTGTCAGCTATTTAAACATTTAATAACTGAAATAGTTAAGTAGTATAAATATATCTAAGTAGTATAGTATTATCATAAAAACAGAGAACATAAAGGAAGAAAATTAAGTCCAGAAGGCTTCAGTAAGATGATAGTACATTATAGATTAGTGTTAACAGAGAAAAATTATTCAATAAAAAAGCTGGGAAAATTAGGTAACCGTTTAGAAAAAATTAAAATAAGTACCTTATCTAATAGCATTTACTAAAAAAAATCGCGCATAGACTCAACGCTTATATATAAAAAAATAAAATAAAAATATCTAGGTGAGTATTTAGCAGCTGGTGGCATGGAAAAGTTTTTTTTTTTTTTAAGCATAATAGTAATGTTACAAGCTGTGACAAAAGTGTACAGATCAGACTTATTTAAAAATTAACTAAAATAATAACAATCTTGAAAAAACATTTACATTTTAATATTGATGTCTTTAATATATAAAGATTTATAATCATTAAGAAATGGACATGTACATAAAAAAAAGAAATGGACATGTAAAAAGCTAGAAAGAATATATCAGAGGGAAATCCATTAAGTAAATAACAAAAAACATTTATTTAGCCAGCAATTCCAATTTTGATAATTTACATTAAATTATACAGCCAAGGATGTTCACTGCAGTGCTACTTGCAACTACCCTCTGACCCAAGAATGGCATCAATGGGGCCAAATTTGGTTAAACAATAACAAGAATGTATACATTAAAGAAGGCATTAGAAAACTAAAAGATAAAGCAAGATGGTTATTTTCAGGTAGTGAGATTACAGGTGCTATTTTTCTTCTTTATCCATTTGTAACTATTTGCCCAAACTTTCATGATGAATATGCATTTTATAATTAGAAAAAGAGTATAAAATAATTGCATTAATGATAATTTTCCTGAAGATATGAACATTAGAAGTCAAACGTTCCATCAAATAAAAAGCTCAAAATCATTTCTAAGTTAAACTGTCTTTGCATGCTGAAAACTTCTTAAAGCTTATTTCTATTAATATCTTAATTTAGCATAAAAACACAGTTAAAAGAAGCCAATTATTACTATCTGAGATTACATCTTCATTTTTTTCCTCAAAGGGATTTTGCTTTTAATGACTATTAAAAGGATTTTCACAATACATCTAGACACACTGCAATGAAATTATGAAAGGATCCATACGCAACAATGAATAACTTAAAGGGATACCTCATATTAATATCATTTCTTTCAGTGAATATTGAAAACAGCATCAGTTTAAGACTGATCATTCTATGTTAAGTTTTTATTCAGGAAATTTCATGTAGGCACTCTAAACAGGATAATGAATGTCTAATGATTTTGTGTCTAACTGAAATGTATCCTGTGATTTAAAACTCTTATTCTTAAACTATATAGCTATATTCTATTTTGTTTTCTTTAGATAACATAATTTTAAAACTTTTAACTATTTCCTAATACTTTAATTTACATTTTGCCTTTCGGTAGTGTTTCTACATTTTTTTTTTAAATTTCTTTCAAATTATTTAAACCCAAATGACAAATAATGGTTTTAGGCAATATACAATCAGATAACAGAACAACTTGAAGGTTCGACATGATATAATTCTGTGGAAACACCAATATTTTCTTCCTAGTACATGTCATGTTACTATGCTGTGTCTCTTACAATAACCATATTATTTGTATGCATGTATACTAACCATATGCTAACTAATTTATACTTTGAGCACCTTATTTATCCACATCAAGTGGAAGTCCTGGCCAAATAATATTAGTGGTATTTCTAACTACTTGTCCAATGTTTTCTACCCATGCAATTTGATATTACTCAACTGTAACAAGCTTACCTTCTAAACCTATTATGAACCCACTCGAGATCTGAGTTCTTGTCTTAGATCTGCCCCTAACTAGTTCTGTTATACTGGAAGAGTCACTTGACTTCTCTAGGTTTCAGTGTTTTCATCTATAAAAAGAGGATAGAACATAGTGGAAGGCCTACAAGGTCTGTTACAATACAAATTTTATTATCAATGTCAGGGATCATATTCCATTCTAATCACTCTTAATATTTAATTAGTGCCTACTACGTGGAAACACTATGGGGAATACAACATTAATAAATGAAAAATTCTTAGTGAATTTTTTTGAACTAAAATGCCCAGACTCAAATATGTTGTGTATAGTACTCTACTGATTATCATTAGCATAATTCTTTCCAACTCCATGAACAGAACTGGCATTTATTTCCTATTCATGCTACTATAAAAAGTCTCCCTTACCTACTTCTGCCTTTAGCCTATCTAAATCACTTTCTTTTACCTCTGTTGCTCTCTACTGAACTGTAAATTAGTTGCTCAAAATTAGAGTTCTCACTACTGCTCCCAAACAATGTGATGTTTTGGGTCTCTTTTGTGTAAAAAATCTTTTAACTTTTTTTAGAAAAAAAATCATATGGATTTATGGGAATCTCATAAAAATATTTCAAGGAAAAATTCAAATATTATAGGAAAACAACCAAATCTTGCCCAAGGCAGAATGTAGGAATATAAGGACTGCTTTCACAGCCCAGGATCACCCTTCCACAAATGCAGCATACTGTCTCCAAGGTAATATAAAGGATGGTGCACAGGAAAGTCATTACTTCAAAAATATATGAGTATCTTGTGTTCCCTCATTAGTCCGTTATGGAAATGTCATACATTTATTTGCCCAATGTGCCTTTTGGAAAACCAGCAAGACATCTGTGGATAATTAGTCCTTTAACATTTTCTACTTCAAACAACGTTTACAATTTTAGAGCTAAAAGAAACCTTGGCTTGGGTAATGGTAAAACTCTCCTTAAAAAAAAAAAAAAAAAATCAGCCGGGCATAGTGGTGTGTGCCTGTAGTACTAGCTACTTGGAGGGCAGAGGCAGGAGGATCGCTTGAGCCCAGGGATTGGAGGTGGGAGTTAAAGCTGTAGCGAGCCATGATCATGCCATTGCTCTCCAGCCTGGGTGACGGAGTTAAACCCCGTCTTAAAAAACAAAACGAAACAAAACCAAAAATGAAACCTCATACATCTTCAACTGCTTCATTTTATAGATGAACCAACTGACAAAGAGTGGTTAAAATAATTGTCTACATCATACAAGTTTAATGACAGATTCTATTCTCTTGATCATCAATCCAGAGTTTCAACATGTCACATAAGTTTACCTGATTCCTGTAACCTTTTACTGAATTTAAATTTGCTTTTTTGAAGCTTCAGAATGTTCAATTTTAACTAACTTGAATTTAATGAAGAATTCCTGCTTACTTTAAGTATATGTATATATGCTTAATAAGGGCAAGGGCTGTGTCTGTCTTATAACTGTATCCTTAGAACTTATCACAGGGTCTGGCATATAGGTATTCAATGGATAGTTGTAGCCTGAATGAATGAACAAGTTGGATGATATTAACTCTCAGTTTTAATCTTTATAAAGAGAAAATAAATCTAGTTATTCAGTTTAACTTTGTTCGCTTGATCATTTCAGATACATTTATTTTCTCTAGCTCCATTATGTTTTTTTTGGTAACGTAGTGAGAATTTTCAGTAGATACCAATAATCTCCATAAGTACAATTCCTTCGCATTACTTTACACTGGTGAGCAACAGCACTTATTTGACACTTTTCTCCCCAAATATGTAAGTACAAAACATTAATGCCTGTTGGTTTTACATTTCAATATGCCCCCAAATTTGATTTTATTTGCTTTGCCAGAATAAATTCCTCCTTCCAGATCAATTATAAAAATGTTAAACGAGACTATATTTAGCACCTATTAAACTTTTTCTAACCAGAAGGGCTCATCAGCCTCTATACTTTAGTTTCCTGTATTTAAATAAATTGTATGTACAACCACATTTATTTGAGTATCTAATATGTGCAGGTCACTGAACTCTCTGGTCCTTGAATAAATAATATACAATATTGTTTAGTATGGAGAAGTAGAAGAGTTTTAGATTCATGAAAGTGGCCTTTAAAAAGTCCAAGTAAAAAATCATGTTTTAGTTTTTTCTTTTGTATTGACTTACTTATTGCCTGCTACGCTCTAACCCCAGATACATACTTCCTATCATCCTTAAGAATTCTACAGGAATCCTTTTATTCACCAATCCTACATCACTGTCCTTGTAATCTCAGACCTCCCTCCTGTCATCCTGAAGAACTCTACAGAAATCCTTTTATTCGTTAATCCTGCCCTTTATTACATATATTACTATAGAATCTTAGAGCTGGAATGAATCTTAGATTTTTCTAAGTGTAATTCCCATATACCAGCTTTATATTCACCAATAATAAAACTATGGCCAAGTACAGTATTTTACCTCTTTAACACATCAGCATGCCATTTTACACATAGTACTTACTTGTACTCATCATAGACTTCCTGTTTGGGCAGTGAAGTCTCAGGATGTTCCTCTAGGGTATTCCGAATCCAGGAAAAGGCGTGCATTTGTTGTGCCCGACTAGATGACATGGCATTCTGATCACTAACAGAATGAAAACGTTTTAGCCGACCAGACAGCAATTCACTGATAATTTTTGAGCTAGGCCTAAATGTTCCACTAAAGAACTGTGTGCAAATATACTACAAATGACCAAACCAAACTTAGGATATCAAGTAGATAATTGTCCACCTATGGTTGTGAGTTGTTTTCTACAGCTAGTTTAAGACTGAAGTTACTGCCCTGCTCCATCCCTCCCTTTGCAGGTGATGGAGCACTGACAAAGTACTTGTTTTGGTCAAAATCACCTTTAAGTGGATATTTGCTCATGCACTTGTCTGTTCATTTGCCTACACTTACCATCATCAAACTTTAAAACAAAAATTAATAACCTCTCGGAAATCTTACTAAAGCACAATATGCTCCAGAATGGAATTCACATCCGAGAGAGCTGCAACAGACACATTTCTTCCTACAATCCTTCCTACAACCATGCCCCCTGCCCCAGGCTGACAGATCCATTAAACATTGTAAACTTTTATTATATGGAAGTATTATTTGTAAATAAATACCATGAAATGACACCAAAGATAGCACAATAGAAGCTACTCTACTGATTCTGATATCTATCTCAGCTATCTGTAAGAATAATTTATTGAATTTCAAATAAAACACTGAGCAAGTGTCTAGGACATAACATGATTAAAACAGTTATAAAATTTTCATTTCATTTATTTCTACATACAGTTTAAAAAAATAGAGCGGTAAGCACAATTTATATGAATAAAATGAATTCTGAGAAATACTTAAAAGCTTACGGAAACTTAAAAAAAATAGAATGACTGAATGAACAACTTCTCTCCACATTTTCTAAATTTTTTAATGATGAAACTATAATAATACCCCAAGCACTTAACACACCATCCATTTATCATGAATTCATGTTTCGTAAGGCAATTTCATTTTATTTTCTGTTTTATATTCTCTGATGTGTTTACCTGATAGTACCTAAAAAGACTCATACCTTATTCCTTACAATACCTATCTGTTTATTCTTTGATTTTCTGTTCAATTTTCACAATCCCTCACATACGCGTAAGCATATTCATCCGTCTATGAAACAAAACCCAAATTGCATGTCATAGCATCTACCCTGTTGCAAAAATAAATTAGCAAAAACTGCAAGTAAATACTTAACCAAATATCATCAAAAACTAAAATGATGTATTGTTTTGCCATCATGTTTTCTAATGATTTTAGGAATATTGTAAAAACTATAACAACCACAACATACACACCCCTCACATATATCCTAGGGACTTCCTGTAAAAAACATAATTATACAAAACTAGGAATAGATATACCTTTTCTCTCCATTGCTGAGACCAGAAGGCAGCTGAAGGTAGAGGTAGAGTTTCTCTAGGTCTGTAAACTTCTCAACTTCTTGCTGTTTACAAAGGATTAAAAAGATCATTTTAAAAAAACACTCATTTTTCCCCAAACAAAATTTACTAACATCTCCCTAAAAGTTAATTACTGTTTAAATTTAAAACAGATGAATCATTTGCCAAATAAAACAAAATCTAGGCATTTTTTCTCATCACTAAAATAATACAATTAGTTTGTTCGAATAAATTTATTGCATGCAAAAATTTAATAAAATGGTACTTCCCTATTAGTTCTTATATCACAGGGATAAATAAAATTATAGACCAATACTCAGACAAAAGCTTCTCATTTTTAATCACATTTAAAGAAGGAGAGTTTTACAGTAGTTACAGGACAAATACTGGACCAGGAGTCAAGAGAAACTTTATTAGTCTTCGTCTGACCATTAACTGGCTATGAGGTTTTCAGTTTTATGGCAAATTTTCCGTACAGCTATAAAATGAATAATTTCTAGAATCCTTTTCTAATTTTCAAATATTTAGGACATGTGACTGGTAGTGCTACTGTTACCTGTGAATGGAACTGAGGTTAAAAATATTGAAATAAAACCAATAACTCTTTCCAGACATTACAGATGTAATTACTTGTTGGTTTGCAACAGTGGCTGCTATATAGAGAATCTACTAATAGTAAGACTTTCTATTGCTATTGTCCTGCAACCATGTCATTTTGTCTCTAAATGTGCCCTTTAAAATAATTTTTGCCTTCCTCTTTGTAACTTTTTTCTAACCTGAGTATGCTATAACGGCTTCAAATGTGCCACAAATCCTATTATAATAAAAATATCCATAGTAAAATTCTGGTAGCCTAATTCAAGCAAAACTCCACTGTAATGAAGAATGTGGACAGATTATTGGCATTCCCGGTAGAATTTATTCTAACTTAATAAAGCATAAACAGAGATTCAGTTTTTGAAAAAACCTAAAATGATATAATCAAGCCTATTCTTAGTCTCATTAGAAGACATCCACAAAAGTTTAATCTTAGAATCCATCTACATAATGATTTAACCAATCACATGCAAATAGCTCCCAAATTTACATTTTTAAAACCCGGTGGCCTTATAGGGTCTCATAAGCCCTGGCCTCAGCTACAGCCTGGGCTCCAGCTTTGGCTCTGGCGCAGGCTCCAGCTCTGGCTCTGGCGCAGGCTCCAGCTCGTTCAGCTGCACCAGCTGCACCAGAACCACCAGCACCACCAGCATCACCAGGGCTATGGTTGTGAAGAAGACTGAGATCCGCAATGGGAAGCTGGTGTCCGACGGGAAGCTGATATCCAAGTTCTCTGACTTCTTGCCTAAGTGAAAAGCTGCAGTGGCCCCTCCCAGCCTGCCCCTCCTGAGGCTGCCCCAGAGCCCTGGAGGGAGGCCCCTGTGCAGGGGAGCACAGGGAACAGGAGACCCACCTGAGGCTCAGCCCTAGCCCTCAGCCCACCCGCGGGGGAATTTACTGCCTGGGGACCCCCCTTGCCCATGCTTCCAGCTACAAAACAATTCAATCTCTTTTTCTTTTGGTCCAAAATAAAACCTCAGCTAGCTCTGGAAAAAAAAAAAAAAAAAATCCTATGGCATACAGGTATTTTCCAATTAGTTCTTGCTCCAATACCTAATAATACCAGCTATACCCTGTGTGTAGCTCTCCCCTCAAAGAAAACAAACACATATTTCCTTCTTAACTGCTACTTATCATCACCTTCTTTTCTCTTATTTCCACAGTGTTCTGTTTTGGAGTCTGTTTAACTCTCTTGGTGCATTCCATATTAATCCTTTATTTAGCCCTCTAACTACCTGCCCCATCTTCTTCCAGTCTTTTGATTTTTCACTGCCACCACAGTAGTGTAGGTCTTCAGCTGTCTTTCAACAATAAGAATAATTCATTTGCTTATACATTACTTTTGTTTTCTGCTATGTTCCACAAATGGCATAAAATAACTAAGAACCTATACCATACATCACAAATCATACAAAGAGTGAACAATACAACATAGATGAGTAACATACCACCACCACAGTTCTTGCCCTTGAGGGACTTTTAATGACACTTAAATTTCTAAAATGTCTAGCTGGTTTTCCTACCTCCAAAGTCTCCCTACTTTAATCTGTCTTAAATATGGTTCCTGAAATATTTTTTTGTCAAAGAAATTTTTTTCTTTAAAGAGAATCTCACTCTGTTGTCCAGACTGAAGTGCAGTAGCATAATCATAGCTCACTGCAGCCTCAAACTCCTGGGCTCAAATGATCATCCCAACTCAGCCTCACAAGTAATTTGGGCTACAGGTGCGTGCCACCATAGCCAGCTAACTTTTTAATTTATTTTTTGTAGTGTCAGGGTCTTGTTGTTGCCTAGGCTAGTCTTGAATTCCTGCCTGGCCGCAAGTGATCCTCCTGCCTCTCAAAGTGGTGGGATAGTAGGCATGAACTATTGTCCAATATTATTAACATCACTCACTTAATCACAACAATGACAATCATAATAAATTCAGAGAAGGTTATAATAATAAAATATCTATTATTATGAGCCATGTCTGAGAAAATGTAATAAAAAGATCATTTTTCATCACTAAGAAACACATCTCCTACTGTTGGAGACACCATGGATTCTATATAACTTTCAAATTTTAAACATCCTGGACAAAAGAATACAGAATAAATTCCAGAACACAGAAGAAACATCAAAGAGGTGATTTAGAAGACATCCAAAAAAAAGTTTTGAAAAAGAGGTCGGCGCGGTGGTTCACGCCTGTAATCCCAGCACTTCGGGAGGCCGAGGTGGGCGTATCATGAGATCAAGAGATTGAAACCATCCTGGCCAACATGGTAAAACCCCATCTCTACTAGAAATACAAAAATTAGCTGGGCATGGTTGCACATATCTGTAGTCCCAGCCACTCAAGCGGCTGAGGCAGGAGAACAGTTTGAACCTGGGAGGCGGAGGTTGTAGTGAGCTGAGATTGCGCCACTGGACTCCAGCCTGGGTGACAGAGTGAGATTCCGTGTCAATTAAAAAAAAAAAAAAAAAAGTTTTGAAAAAGATCAAACTCAGTGTCCTAATTTTTTTTTCAAACAATGAAAACTTGTAACTGTTCAATTACTGTTTTGATTGCCATATGCGGTACAACACACAGAAGAAAAAATTTGGAAAGTAGCATGAAGCTGATAATAACAAAATCCTGTAAAGCAAACCAGAAAAAATTACCCAGGTATATTGTGATGGCATTTCAGTCCAGCAAGGCTTGGGCTCACCATCAAGATTTCCGGTTTTGGATATACTGTGTCATTCACTGCTAATTAATGGCTTCTAAAACAATGCTCACTGGTTAAGGAGAAGACCCTAACCTTGCTTGATTATCAAGGCAAGAGTATCATGTGGCAAGTATTTTAAACATCAGATTATTTGATCTGCTTCGTGAAGATTTAAATGATAAGAACTGAAAGTTTTCTGTTCTATGTTGAAATTCATTGGTTGTCAAAAAGAAATACCTTTGGCTGAATTTATAAAATAAATGAGAATAGTATTCTATTTTTGGAGCACCAGAGAAAAGACCAACTGTAAAAACTTTAAAAATTATAATTTCTTATTCAGCCATAAAAGAAATGGAATATTGATACATGCTACAAAATGGATGAACCTTGAAAACATTGTGCCAAGGGAAAGAAGCCAGACACATACCATGTGATTCCATTTATATTAAATATCCCCAATAGGCAAATCCCTAGGGACAGAAAGCAGCTTAGTGTTTCCCAGAGGCAGATGATTGCTTAAAGTGTGCTCAGTTTCCTTTTGGGGTGAAGAGGTTTTGAAACTAGATTGAGGTGGTAGTTGTACAACACAGTGAATGTACTAAACATCACTAATGGTAACTTTTATGTGTATTTTACTACAATAAAAACTCTAATTTTTAACAGAGCTTCACACATTTGGCAAACACATCTGATGATTCGAAGTAAAACTTAAATGACAAGCAATATCCGTAAACTTAAAAGTCTTTACTTTCTTGAGTTGGGGAAGTTCTAAAGAAAAGTTAGGTTTCAAATTTAGGGGAAACCTCAAATATTATTCCAGTCTGTTGTATGAGGTAGCTTATAATTTCATTTTATTGCAGTTGAAGATCTTGCCTGAAAACATAAAGACCTCTTTCTCACTTCCATCTTTGCAAAAAGATATTAAAAAGGAATCTTTGAACTCAAGTTTGATTTATATGTCTAACACATTCCAGTAAACTATTTTGGAGAATTTTTGGTAAAATATCCTTGGTTATTCCCAGCAAGTGAGCCCACCTTGCATGTCATTATCCCATTTTCATAATAATAGATTTATTAAGATGGTTTTTCTGAACCTTTAGCTATGAAAGCACAGCAATGCTACAAACTTAGTGATGATTGAGATGGTATTTTGACCTTTCACATTCTGGACAGAAAAGCTTGTAGCAAACAGTCAAATTCAACATTCATTTTTATATCATGTGATCGAGGGGAAAATGAAGGCATAATGTAAGATCATGTTGCTTTTGAAGGTTCAAGATGGAGTTTGGTTGTTGAATCATGCCACTCAATCCCTTCCCTTCTAAAACTTTGGCTGATAAAAAATACTGACCTAAGAACTACTAACATGAAGCCATCTAATCCTTCTAAGAGGTACAAGTGAAGTGGTAAAGAGAACATGGGGCAGAGTATTCCATTTGCTTACCTATATTTCTCAGCCTACTTTGCAGTTAGCTTGTAGCTATGTAATTATTATGAATATGATCACAGTGACATAATTCACTACTCAGCCGACATATTTGAGAATCCATGTGTTATCCCATCCCACTTCCCCCTCTGTGGAACTTGGAAGCCATGTGTTACACCAGTGAAGCTATAACAAGTTGGCCTTTCTGTCAGTGTTGGTTCTGAGGGACTATTTGGAGCAGTGGTCTCCAGTGATTTCTGCTGTATATAATGCAAATGAAAATACATTTTTGTGGTTAGGCCACTGGTATTTCAGGCTTAGTTACAACAGC